ATGTAACTGAATCATCAGTATTGCTTTCTGCAATTCGACCTAAAATATTTGCACGCAGTAAGGCTCCGTTATGTCTACAAATGGCTGAACTTGACAGCAGGTGACAGCAGGAATTACTTACTGTTGATGTTTTGGGTGATGAGGGGGAATTCTTTACATGGCCCTCCGCAACCGAATTTTTGCGGGAGACAATTTCCTGCAGTGCAGTCCTTGCCTCCTTTAATTCCGCTCGCAAGTGGGCTGAAACTTCACGTTCCGTTCGATTTTCTTCCTCAAGGGATGAACAAGTCTTCCGAACCTCCGACACCTTTCTATTAGCTGCCATAATGTCACCCTGAAGTCTGAAAAAGGATCAAGAGCAGTGAAGGAAGAAGAACAAAGCGGGGTTTTTGTCGTTGATCTTTTTTTCTGTAAACAAGACTCACCTCTGCAGAAATGTGTCCATGTCTTGCAGTTGATTGGAAGATTCAGTTAACTGTTTTTGCATCTCATCTTTTTCCGACTTCGCCTTTTTGAGTTCATCCCGAAGCGTAGCAATGGTTGTTTCTGAATCAATCAGGCGCTGTTTGAGTTCACGATCGGTTTGTTCGGACGCGGAAAGTTTGGCTTGTAGATCCTCTGAAAGTTTTGAAGTTCAATAGATGACAACGACACCGAAAAAGATAACGGCGCATATAAAAACACAGTTGCAAGAAGGGAAATCAAAAGTATCATTCTGGCAATACGTATTAGCAACACGGAGAAAATAAGCAAGCAAGAATTTGAACGGCAAATATTTCTTTGGTTCAGACTATTGGAAGAAGTGAAATCGCATGGTCGAAAGATAAAAGGCGATCGCATAGACGACCACGGCCTAAAGGCAGAGCAACCGACACGAAATTCCGGGATCTTTAGTTCAACACTGTGGGAAGCCAGTTCTTCCTACTGTATGCGTTCTCTACCTTCCATAATCTGTATTACAAATGATTGTTAAGAACTGCATAAGGCTATAGGACTAACCAATTTGGGCAGAAAGCCGTTGTTCGGTCTGTTCAAATGCGGCGGTCTGATCATCCAGACTGCTCTGTAGGGATTCAATCCTGGAAAGCAGGGGTTTGGCCACTGAGGAGGCGGTTTCACCCATCAACTCCAGTTGCGTCTCAGCGTTGGCAAGACGTGACTGAAGTAAAAACATTGATTTAACACTGCTTACTTAACTATTAAAAGTAGCAAGGTCTGGGTTTAAAAAGGACTGTGAACGAACGCGATAGTACGAGACTTCCTGGGCGGATTGTTCACGAGCCTGCTCAAGGCTGCGTTGTTGTTTGGAGGCGGCCCTACGCATCTCATCGATTTGATTGCGCAAACGATCAGTCTCTTCATGAAGAGCAGCCTGTTGCTGCTCAGAACCCTGCATTGTCTCAAGGCGGCTATGAGCAGCCGATAAATGCCTTTGCGTTTCCTCCAGTTTTTCCACCATTTGTTGTTTTCCCCTGGAGGGGTAAAAGATATTTCAGTATCAAAATAGTTTTTTTCAACCAAAATACGTCCAAGAATAGAAATTCCGATGGAAAAATGATAGTGACCTTATATAGCGTCTCCAAAGCAAGGGGAGAAGTAACTAAATCAGTTTTAATTAAAAATAAGTATCGATAGTGTAAGCACTGACTTATAAGAAGCAAATAAACTTACGCCTCGTGCGCCTGAACGGTCTTCTCAAGGTGTTTGACCTTCTCGCGGGAGAGACCAAGTTCATTCTGAATATAAAATAGGAAGAAGAATGTTGATTAAAAGGAAACTGAAGGTTTCACTCCGGTTCAAGGAAGGTGGAAGGGAGAAAGGTGGCGCCGTATTGAATGCAAAGGTCCGCGTTTCAGGTGTTTACATGAGTAAAGCACTAGACTGGTCGAGCACCGGAACAAACTGTTTTTTTTTGTTGACAGCAACCATCCGCTGGGTTACAAACGCAACTGTGCGAGAGCGCTCTTCAAACGGATTCAGACTCATTGCAGCGGACCGGGCGAAAAGGTACGCGAGGCCCGATATCTCCGCGACCAGCTTTTACGGAATGGCTATCCGACGGCGTTTATAAGCTGATGCCTACGCGTGCAATTAACGTTCTCCCGCCCCCATGTTCGGCATTTCTTATGAGAGCACTACCCGAGAGCACTGCCCTGATCTGGCCCCCATGCTAATTCAGCGCATCTATCACGCACAAACAAAAACAGCAACAAGGATAAGGCAGGTTTTGCCATACACCAGGGACGTCTCAGAAGCGACCGGGCGCATCGTTGTATTGGAATGGCACACTGGCCTAACGCTACCATGCGCAACAGGGTGATGAAAAACAAACATCAACTAAAAATCTAAGAGCAATCTGCCGAAGTGTACCGCATTTCATGCCTAGGCTATCGTTGTAACTACGCAGGGCAAACTGAACGCACGCTCGTGTCCCCCATACATGAGCAACCGGACGACAAATCATCGTAACTTGCTGCCCACATCTACGAAACGGGCCATGAGTTCAACTTTGCAGCCGTCAATGTAATCGCGCACGGCTGAAACAAGACGAACCGAGAATTGATTAAAGCCTGGTCCACGGATGGGAATTCAACCAATCGATTCGGCGCCGGCATACACAGTCCAGTGCAGTCACTTCCATACTTATTTCACTGATAATTTATTGGCTTCCACTGCTGCTGCTGCTGCTGCTACCTCTAGCAATGACCACCTGACCGAGTTCGAAAGTGTAAAATAATAAACCAACGGTTTCGGCACTCGACCAGTCTTCTTTACTCACAGAAATTACTGTTCATATTTATAAGTATCCTATAGGTTGGGGCACGGTTTATTGGGAGTGCTTCCGAAGTACCTGCTTTCCAAGGGGGGAATTTGATAAATGAAAATTCCGCCAAAACGTTACACGGGCGCACACCATTGAAAAACAAAATGTATGCGCAATAGGAAATATAAATTTTCGTTGCACCACATCTAAAACTACTAACAAGACATTTTAATGGATGTGGTTACTAAAATCGTTGACTGGAAACGCTCACAAACCTGGCATCAGCATAGACTACATGGTAGTGGCATTGGGGTGTTCACTTACGAGTCACTTGCATACCTCCAACAACCATTACTGGTTTACATCAGGCGGCAGCCAGGGGACACTGGCGTCGTGTTTAGTGCGCGGCCGACTGAGCCCATGCGAAAAAAGTTCCAAATTCATTATAAACTCAACACACTGTGAGAATTTTGCTTCGTTTGCTTTCCTCACCTTCACTGACGCCTTTCGAATCCATAGCTGGCCTATGGTGGAAATGCATAATTCGTCTCCGGTGAAGTAAATATCACATTAGGTCAGTTCCTACTTCAGTAAATAGCCGTCAGAACAAATATCCATGGAAATCATGAAATTATGTACTCGACTAAAATATGTGCAAGCACGCCTACGTGTTTGCTAGAGGCTATCGATGACAAAAAGTTGGGTCGATCGGCAACAGCTCGCCGCAAAAAAAGGAAGTTTGGTGTAGGTGTACAGGGCTTTCGGTTTATTAGTTCACAACATTAGTAATGGTCATGTAGCTGACCTTTCCTACAAATAACAACCAAAAGGAGTCTGCAGGTAAATATGCACGGGTTTTACGCTCGCGAGAACACACAAGTAACTTAAACTAGGCAAAACGGAAAGCAGGGTTGGCAACGGACACCCAGGCAGGCGGGTGGGGATGATACAAAATGCACTGCTTACATTTAAGGCAGCTAAATCCTTTTCCAGTTTTAGATTTTGCCGATTCACCTGGTTGAGGGCACCTAAAATAAACGCAAAACAGGGGTTAAGGCAGAGAGCAGGGGGAATAAAAGCTGGAGAAAGATTTACAATAACAGATGAAATGCTACAGTGATTCTAGCACGTTTTCTGGCATAAAGCTAAGATTGTTCACAGGCGCCTTAGAAGAAGAGGGACTAGCCCAATGCAGTGACCAAGGGCATTCCCACAAACCTGTTTAGCACCAAGATGGTCAGTAGTACACAATCACAAACAATTGACTAAAAGGAGAAAATGGATATAAAAGGGGGATGTTAATTGGCAGAGGTGCATTTTAACTCTGATGGTCAGAGTAGTGACTTCGGCTACTTCAAAAGCTGGAGATTCCGGTGCACAGTTCTCTTTATATGGCGCATCTTCTGATGCATTAGTCTCGAAGGTCGATTGCGTCAACTAAACATTGCATTTGTGGTGGTAAAAGGCATAAACGTCAGACTTTTTAAGCCAGTGAATCGTTTTTGCTGAGAAATAAACAGCAAAAAGGAAAAAAATGTTGTAATAAAAGCGAATAAGAATGTGCAAACAATGAGTGCAGAAAGGTTTGGCAAGGTAGCGAGGAGAACAAAGATATCAGTCAATTAAAGGGGTTCCAAAGCCGTTAATATTTATAAAAAAAAGTCGTTAATCCATCTACTTGAGGATGATAAGCGTGTCCTTGAGGTAATACGGTACGAAAAAAGAGGGAAGGCTAGCCAGGTAGCGTTTCAAACGTATGCTAGATCAAGACTTTGGCGAAGTAAGATGATGTGAGGACTGTTCGCAGATGTATTTTCCTCTATTTTTACTCCTTTTCTATTTGTGCTGCAACCTCACTGGAGTTTTATAACCGTATATTGCGTCTCTGCTGAAGACGTGCGGTATCCGAGAGAGTAACGTTGCCACCGGTATGAAGGGAAGCTCGCAAAGTCAACAACGGAGTCTGGGAATAAAACGGTCTGATGGATCTTAGGAAATTACATGACAAATCCTTTGTGCTACCCCTGTGCATTTTCAGCCAGAGTCCACTTATAAGCTTTTCTTTGGTTACGTGCAACTCAGCTAATCTAGCTGGTGGCTGTAATAAAAGGGTTGAAGCGAACTACCAAAATATTTGTCACTTCACAGCCATTTTAGTGAGCCTCTTTAATGCGGATGCTATATGGTCCTGTAAGAAAACGCGGGACTTACCTAAGCTTTTGGACTCGCTACCCTGGGCAGTAGCAAGTTCGGCTTTAAGGCGCTCGATTTCAGTCTGTGCCCTGGTCAGGGCTGAGCTAAATGTCAATAATATAAATGCTAAATGTGTTAGTAACTAGCAAGAGAGATCGGAAATTTGGCGCACCAATTCATGCTACCTGAAGAGCCTAGGCTGTAAAAGGTAAACAAATAAACAGCTCTGTAAGGAAACCTCGGCGCAGGTGTTAAAGGCACTTGTGGCAACAGTGATGGCCACCTTTCATTCAAAAGAACCGCATCGTCCCTGCCCCCTCCCCCGCCAGACGACAAAAAGGGAAGCATAACAGTTTGTGACATGTGTTGTCCGAGCTGTGCTGAGTCGGATTGAG